CATGCAAGCTCATGCTCGTTTATCGACGTCGGAAACATTCGCCGGCAATGAGAAGTGCTTGCAAGAGATGGAGGTACCTGTGAGATTCCGGGTGGATTCGATACCAACGACCCCAACGCATGGGCTACGCGTGTTTTCAAAGAGTTTATGAGCATGTCCGTCCTGCTTTAGCTTTCTTGAATACCTCTATGAGAGTATCGCAAACATGTTTGGCATTTCTTGAAGCGATTTTACCAGAAGCAGTTTCATGACTCGTGGACATCCTCTATCAAAGAACCAGACTTAGAAACGATACGTCAACGTACGGATGCAGCAACAGTGTTGCCAAATATCGAAGCCATACTCAGAACGTCGAGTGCAATGGTTGCCGCGGATATCGAGGTCGTGGATCGTGCTGTAGGCGACTTGGGCATTGCTGACTCTGACCCAGTCATGTTCGCTTTCGGGCTTGCTCAGTCGACCACTGTTCGTTGACCGTGTCATGCAGTGGAAGTTTCGAGGATCCCATCTCCAGCCTCGGCCCCAGCAGTGATTTCAGAATCGGACGTATACGACGCTACACGGAAGGTGCTCACGACAGCTTGGACAGGCTGCGAAGAAATTTTATGTTCCAAACAGATCTGTTTGCTCCACGATTCAGGAATTTAGGGTGTGCTCTGTCCATCTTGCCTCGGTACAAATGGCGCTCGTCGCATTGCATACACATGCGCAGAGTCGCCAACGAAGCATCTGGTGGGTGCGAATCATGACAGGGAATATCTTCGAACATCCATGTGGGTGGTGGGGTGTGCGAGGCGGGAGGCTATTCACAGGCGCGCTGTTGATGAGCGCAACGAACGGCTTTGCCTTATCAGCGGAGAGGATGGCTGTCTGCCGCAGATCGATGAGAACCACCGCGAGTTTTATGGTAGGCTGAACTACTCAAGACGCTTCTCCATCTGCATAGGTGGCGTTCGTCTGTTGACGGCCGCGCTTCCCAACTGCATGCGTATTGAACAGCTCTCAGCGATTCGAATGTTGCCGGGTTTGTTAAGGACAAGGCCTCTGGCGTTAGAATGTCCTGTACCAAAGTGGTAGGATTCCAAATTAGTTTCAGTACTATGTAGGCCAGAGATGAATGGTGAAAAAACACTGACTGATTGCCTTGTTGCAAGCGGACTCACGTGTTGCCCACATTTTGGCATCTTCAACGCCTTCTGCTTCCGTCAATTTTGTGGTGAATTCCCTGCGAAAGCAATTCATGGTGACGTAGACCGCAATGCCAGCGTTTTTTGCTGCGAGTTGGAGTGGCTCGTTGAACGAGGCAGATCTGAGTGGGTTGTTAGGGTCCAGACCGGGAGAGCCATCCTTCTTCTTTGCAAGAAAAACCGCCTCTTTGGAGACTTGTAGGTCTTGCATCAATTCTTGGTCATTTGGAGTCGAAAGCTCGTCAATAGTAGCTGGTCCGGAAAGCCCTCTTGCATTGGCCATGTAGAACAGGAGCCACTTGAGGTCAATGTCGAGGTGCTCTGTGTTCCTGCATGGCATGGTGGTGGAATTTGCCGGCCGAAAAGCAGCGTTGCGAGTATGTAGATGACGCTGGCCCTTCAGCCAATGATAACAGATTTTCAACCAGATCCCGGGTCTGCCGTCGATAGAACGCCTGAACTTGATGTGTCCCCAATGTAGTAACTGGTCGGTCTGCTCATACCCAGCTCCGAGTGCCAGAGTGCTTGGGCGAGCGCCGGTCATAAATGTCAAGACCAAGGCTACATAGAACTGTTTCTACCAGTCAACGTCATTGAATCCGTTGCTAAGAGAGGATTAGTATGCAAAGTGATACGAGCACAGGAAGGTATACATTATGACATCGAGAAGCAACTTAAGCTCTGCAATGCCGAGCCAATGTTTATCAGTGATGGCGGTAGAAAGTTCGTACTTGGTAGCCATATAGTCAGTAGCAGCACCAGTTTCGATGTGCCACCGATAGAGGAGGGTGTAGACCTTTGGGCCTGCTTCACGGGCGGCCCACCACCACAAGTCTTGAACCGTCTGGCGAATGGTAATGGCTTTCATCTTCTTGTCCTTCCCACCGTGATTAGATTCCTTCGTCGCAGGGCCCATAACGAACGCTTGTACATGTTCAATTATATGTCTCGGGAGGAAGAAAGTCTTGTGGCTTTCTTGTTCGCCGCGGCATGTGTATTGGTTGTCTGGGTGGGCAGCTGGCATGATTTTCAGGAACGATTGACGAGCATTGGCTCGACATTCTCGTGCCTTTAGTGATCCCGTGTCATGAAGCCGGATGTATTCTGAACTTCCAAGGATCTCCGCACGCAGGTCGGGATCACCCATCAGTCGGGCAACCAGGCGATTCGCACCATTGCCCCGCTGGGGAGGAAGTCCATGCCGACGGGGAGCAGCTCGAGGTTGAGAGGATCGGTCTGTAGGCATAACGAACGACCGGGAGAGGCGATCAGTGGTGAAGAATCAGTGAGACGGCAGACGAATCAGGTCCCTTGACTGATGCAATGTTCCTATGTAAGTGTTGATTCGATGGACTATTCCAAGCAATGAGGATGGTCGACGGGTGGGTGAGCGAGCGATGCAGTAGATGTAATTGAGGTGTGCTCGAACGAAATTTTGCTTATGTTGAGTGGAGGTCTGTAGCATGCAAAGGACAACTTTATACTAATATGCATGTATTAAAGAGCATTAACCTCTGATGAGCAAAGGAGATGCTAGCAAACTGAGATGCAAATGTCAACAGAACGTATCCTCGTGGTCGTCCTGAATTCCGGCTTCGTCTGCATCGCGCTTGCGACCAATCTTGGGCTCTAGTGCGCTTTGCTCGTGGCGGCCTGGTGTTCTTTGATCTTTCTGCTCCACCTTGTCCGATGGTTCTCTTGTGAAGTCGTTGAATGTAGTCTCCATGACATCAACGATGAACAATGTGCAGTGGAAGGCACCGTTCCGGACTTCTCCATTGAAGGCGGCGAGGAGAGCAGTAAAAAATCCAGGTAGGATTTGGTATTGCCTAAGACCACAGGACCAAGGTGCATGGAAAGTAAGGATCTCCAACAGGTCGCCATGACGTTGCATATCCAGACTGAGATCTGGAGATGGTCCAAGTGAGCCGCCAGATCCTTGCTGATGTTGCGTCCCATCTGACGGCGAAAAAGTTGTTGAATGATTGCAGGCGATTGATTTGAACGATCGCCGAGATAAAGAGGGACAGCAAATATCGATGCGAGTCCTTGGCAAGCAAGGGTGTGGATGGATCGGTACTCGTGAGAATCGTAGGTGGACAGATACTATTGTGCCGTCAGTGATTGAGGCACGGATATTAAGTGAGGCGCCCCACCCGCCCAGGCATTAGACATCGCTGAGCTACGAAATGGGAACGATCAAAAAGGAAACTCTAGGTTTTCGAAATTGTCATAAGAGAGCGAGTGATCGAGGACAGTGATGGCCCACACCATGGCGCTGTTTTGCGCTTGCGTTCTCTGACTAGACTGCCATTGCTGAATGAAGTAGGTGATCAAAAAGTGACGGTGGTAGCGAAAGAGAAAGACCTAAGATAATTCGGCGATAGATCTTTGTAGCATGGTGACGGTTAGGAATACAAAGTAACGTGCAAAATGAGGTAGAAGTCACTGTCGGTGTGTTTACGCATTTGGAAAGAGTTAGTGATTGAATTCGTATATTTCAAGTTGAAATGGATGATTTTTCATGTTGTTCTACGCGACGAAGAAAATCATAGCAAAGCCGGGTGTTCGAGTTAAGGTCAATACCTAAGATCCAGGCTTTCGAAATCTGCAGCGTTTGAGCACCAGGGATTAGGCCGCTCAAGCGTCAACACGGCTTGCAGCCATTACTGGCATATCGCTTCGCAATTTTGCCGAAAGGTATTTGAAGCCCCGGATATTATGTCCGACCAAGTTCTCGCATGTCGTAGCTGAGTGATTCGTGGCAGACGACTGTCGTGCCGCTTACTTACTCCCCAAGAGCAGGCACTTGCTTTTGAGACTGTGCTAAAACATCCATAAGGAATGGTCTGCTATGTGCCGACAGTCCGGCTCTGATTCAAGGCCTTCAAAATGTCTTTCCTGCAATACTGCATGATAATTGTGACTACTATAGGAAAAGCTGACGGCAATTATCCTGTGGCCGCTTTGACGCCATCCATGGAAACATGTAGACTAGGAGTGGGCAAACGATCCTCGGTCCAGAGGGACGATATCTTAGGCACCACTTTTTGATTCGTACAAGAGTGGCACGCAAAATAGTCCTTGTTTTGAACACCAAGTTCTAGTATTGAAAAAAGTATTGGAAAAGACCATGGCTTCATACTTGCGATTGTTATGTTGTGGCCTAGTGTCATGCGAAGTATTGCTGGGTGATCGGCATTCAAACGGACAATTAGCCCACACGAGACCTTGCCTTTCGTATGTTTTCAACTTGTTGTAAGAAGATTTGATGAAAGTATTCATAAATTTGTCTTCTATGACCAAGGTCATTTGACTTTATCGACCTACACAATGCATGTTTTTGATACTCAATTTTATAGTTGTAGCACTTTCATGTCATGCGAGGGAACACTGGGGTCGTCGGCGAACGGACAGTCGGTTCAGCCAAATCAAGTCCTTTCGCTATGATGTTATATTCACGATGCAGCGTGTACGCGGGCTGTCAATCGTGAACATGACATGCCAAAATCAGACCATAATGGATTGTTTGGAGCCTCAAGATATACATTGCCGGCGCCGTAGCGTTCAATCTGGTCCGAATCTACCTAAAGCCGCTGGTTATAACAATGAGGGGGCTCGACAATGCCCCTGCACATTCCACAGAGCAACATCAATGACTTTGATTTTATGCTTTCACAGCTTTTTTCTTTTTCTTTTTTCTTGCCGTAGATGCCTGTGTATTCAATTCTTGAATAATGAGAGTTTTAGCAGTAGCGGATTTTACTGTACATATATATTCCAGCTAAGGCTGAGTTCGTATAAATCAAGCTCGGGCGCTTGGTCTAGGGGTATGATTTTCGCTTCGCATCATGGATTAAACCCCCAAATGCGTCAACTTGTGAAAGGTCGTGGGTTCAATTCCCACAGCGTCCAGTCGATGATGTTTTTGATGTTTTTCGAGGCCTATAACATCCTAGGCATAGCCTGGTGGGCCCAAAAGGTGAATTTTTGAATTCGACGATTCGAAGCCTGGACACTCACAAAGCATTCTGGCACATGTGCACAGCGCTGATTGGAATTGTTACCCACGACCTTTCACAAGTTGACGCATTTGGGGGTTCAATCCATGATGTGATGCGAAAACCGGCCGTTCGCTTTCGAGAACGGGCGATCTCGGAATCCACCAACAAGCGTAGGGCCATGTGACACTTATACACTTTGAACAGACTTAATTTCCAGTAAATTATTATGTAGCAATATCTAAATGTCCTATACAAACATTATCAAAGGTGTGAATTGCCACTCTGACAAGGTAGCGCGTTTTCGTCTTCCCCATGACCCCCACTCATGGCGATGCCGGCTCCGATACCCGTTGTATGAACACACTCGTGCATTCGCCTCGCAGATACAATGCAACAGGAATGATCGTCGTCACAAAATTATCTGCATGCTCAGTCGGCAGACTTCCACTGGACAGAAGAAGACAGATGTAAGTGAATTGCTCGGCTACGTTGGTGAGTCTTCTGCCGGCACTTGACGCTTGAGGTGCCTCCGTTGCCGGCGCACGTGAGCGGCCAAAGGCATGAATCAGCAAGCGGCCGAGGACTAGGCTGGACTCATCCGCCCGCCCCCGCAGCCATTCGCGTTTGTCTCTGCCGTCTCAACCTCTCGACTTCGACTTCACACGAACTTACAGTTGCACTGCCCACTTTCTTCGTCTCCTACTTTCCTCCACACCAACCGCACGCTCGGTTTTCCCCCACCGACTCCTCACTGACTGACCTTCGACCACCTGTGCCGCCCTGGACCTGTTCGCGGGCGGGTTCCTCCGACGTTGCCGACTGCTGTGCCGTCGAAAATCGCTCATTCACACTCACATCTCACTCCCCTCGACCCCGGGAGTCGGTCCAACACGACACGCAAAAGCACGCGATTTTGCACTCAGTTCTATATTCGGAGAAAGATTCCCGAGAGGAATAACCATACGGAGACCTTTGTCTACATCTTTCCCCGCCGGGAGCCCTTTCATCCGGACCAATTCCGCGTTTCCGACAAAGTCATATAACATTCCCGCAAACACCTTTCAAACTTCTCTTCGCAAGCACTTTCACACTACCATGGAGAACTACACCTTCCCGACTGAGCGGCTGAAGCGGCGCATTGATGACTCCTCCAAAGAACCTCTTGTCCTCATCGCGTGCGGCTCGTTCTCACCTATCACCTTCTTACATCTGCGAATGTTCGAGATGGCAGCCGATTATGCCCGCTTCAACACGAACTTTGAAGTATGTGGTGCATACCTGTCTGCGGTGGGTGACGCATACAAGAAGACCGGCTTGGTGAAGGCAGAACACCGGATAAACATGTGCAATCTGGCTGTCGAGCAGAGTAGCTGGATCAGTGTTGACCCTTGGGAGGCAATGCACGAGGAATATCTTGTGACTGCCACGGTGCTTGATCACTTCGAACATGAGATCAACGTTGTTCGGGGAGGCATTGAAACCCCGGATGGGCCGAAGAAGGCTAGGATCGCACTCTTGGCCGGAGCAGATCTGATTCAGACCATGAGCACGCCTGGAGTGTGGGCAGCTAAGGACATTGACTACATCTTGAGCAACTTTGGCGCCTTCATCGTCGAGGTGAGACTGGCAATTCAAATTGAGTCATGAAATAACACTAATGGGATTGCAGCGGAGCGGAACAGACATGGATGAAGCGTTGTCGACTTTGCAGCGGTGGAAGGACAACATCTATGTCATTCAGCAGCTGGTACAAAACGATATCTCCAGCACAAAAATTCGACTCTTCCGTCGCCGCGACATGAGCATTCGCTACCTTGTTCCGGAGCCGGTGGTAAAGTACATCGAAGAGAACAGCCTCTACGGAGATGACCAGCCCGGTGGCCAGCCTGCGCACGAGGGCAAAGGCAAGAAGCCCGGTGAGAGCGCGGGAGCGCCTAGCCCGAGCACATTGTCTGGCTGAGATGGCTACGCACTAATGAGGCATGACGAAGCATTTGATGGCGAAAGGGTTTGTTCTTCGCGGGAGCTTCTATCGTACAACCTGAGCGTTAAGCTCAACTCCTACAAGACCCTTTCGGCTTCCTCCGTTCACAAGTACCTGGCTGCAGCTTATGTGGATAGTAGCGCAGTCAAACACATTACCGCTCCCGTTGGGCGGAACTACATGATTACACAATACCCCTTTCTTTGTATGGTTTATATTCGCGGACAACGGCGCTGACGACGATATGCTGTCCTTCGAAAAGGCGAGGGCAAGATAGAGCACCCTCGATATAAGTCGAGGTAGAGATATGGTTGGCGAAGCGATGAGATCAAGAAAAGAAGACTCAATTCTCAATTCGATACAGCTGGGCTATCGCGTGGCTTCGCGGTTTGCTACGTTGATGGCTTTCTGGTTTTGGCCTACGAGACCTTTGTACAGCAGGACTACCGGGATTTTGGGGGTTTGGAGACGGAAGCTTGATGAATAAACGGCAGAGAGGACCGGTGCGATATATCTAGAACGAAGCGCCAGAGTAAAGATCTTACAATCTTCAATGTACCATGGTTTGTCTTTTATTTACACTTTTCCGTGCACAGGCTGCGTTTCAAAGCCTAGGATATGCAATGCACATAACGATGCCTCCCTCTGTCTTTACACATCCTCTCAGTACTCAACCTCCCTCAGGCATCTTTGTGCCTGTATTACCGAGCTACTGATATTTCTTGCCTTCGCCGCCCTTGTACCCGCCGCCATGTCCCGATCCCCCACTCGACCGGCTGCGATCACTTGGCCCCTGCCCAGATTGGGAACTGCTGCTCTCCGCGCCGCCCTCAGTCCCGCCCCGCGGCTGGCTCACCTTGTGATTCGCGGGCGACACATTGAGCTCGTCGCTATCCTTCTGTCTCTGTTAGACCCTCTGCCAAGCATAGGTCGTGGAAGGCGGGTTCCTTACCGTGGAGTGTTCCTCTGGTCGTGTCTTGGACGAATCGAAGGCCTCGCCGGATTGAGCGGCCGAAGGGTCAGAGCCAGACTTCGAGTACTCGTTAGGCTCGACTTTAATGGAGTCTTTGTCCTGGGCGTCTTTGCGGGCGCAGAGAGGGGTCGAGATGCTGAGGGGTCGAGCGGTGAGGCGGGAGGAGAGGGGGGAGAGGCGTAGGCGGATAGAGCGTGGGAACATAGCTGCTAGTTCGACTGTTTAGGTGATGTTATGGGTTGTTGAATGAGAGATGGGATTGAGGTGAGGTATTGCTGTTGTTCGGTGCTGTTGGAGACGTGAGGTCTGGGGGCTCGAATGTGTGCCTGTGACGTCACGGTGATTGGTGCGGCTCTCAATGGGAGAAATGATAGCAGAATGCGCTCGAGGCAGTGGAATTTCGAATTTTGCGAGCTTCAAAAGCATTTCACAGAGCGAGATAGTGATCGAATAAAATTCAGCGTCTTTGATGCGGGTCATAGACCTGTGTGATGTCGGATAACAAGGACAACCATTGTAGACCAGTACCTATACTCCGCTTTTTGACTGGGTCTACCACTCAAACTCAAATTATCTTTAAGCCATCAACCGTTTCGCGAGTACGCGCTGTTCGCTCCCTCCCGCACGAAAAAGATTCTCCAAGAGCTTCTACAGATCCTGCAGTCATTGTTAACTTCCTGAGCGAGCCTGACAATATCGTCGCCGAATCCAATATCTGGGTCACCTGATTCGTTGGACATGGTATCAATTTTCCTGTCTGTGTCGCTGATGGGCATACCGGTCATGGTACTTCTACCGATGACATCCATGAGAGCTTAACCACCGCTTCGCTCAGGGTTGGAAGGATCAAGCAGCACCATCATGCTGCAGGTATGGCCGCAAAAGCTCCCCCTGGGTAGTGTCAGTGGTATCAGCGTAGGCAGATCTGGTAAGAAATGCACATGAAGTAAACCTTGCTCCGGCGGCGAACAGGTTCCATATATGTCCTATCAATATTCGGCCGCATTACCTCATGGTGAGCGAGCTTGTCGACCAAGGTGTTGGTATCATTCCATGGCTTCGTGAAACTGGGGAAGCATTTTGGGGTAGCTGCTGCTGAATAAGGTACTGAATGAATTTCTGACGGGTCGCGATGTTAGGATTCAAGGTTGCTGCCATTTTTACATCACGGTACCGCAAAGCAGTAGTAAGATACAATTGTCAAGGTCAGGATCAATCTCGACACGTCAAGATACACAACAAGGACGTGGGGTTCCTGGAATGGAGCTTTAGTGGGGCAGGCACAGGGTCCGGGGGGTGAGCCAATTGAGTTTGAGACGTCGAATTGGATGCCTGGAAACAAAACGATATGCAGGTCATCGATACGAAACCCGCCGGACCTCCAGGATAACATAGCGGGAAGCAACCAGGAGCTGCCGTCTTGGGCAGTCTTGGATTCCTGGGTAGACTGGTGGCCGACATCGCGCGGTGTGATTGGAGGATTGAGGCTGAAAATGGTTGAGGAGCTTTAAAACAGAAAAAGCTGGGAAGCTGCAAAACGCGGGGCCCAGCTTCAAAGAATTGGGAGCTCATCAGAAAAAACCCGACACCAAGGAAATAATAAGCCCGTCAACAATTGTCCAAGCAACCCTCGGACGGCCCCTCCCTCCTCGTAGACCTGCAGAAATCACCAGCTTTTCCTTGGTTGGTTTCTTTCTCCGCTTCACCTTTCTTTCAGCTCCGTCATCCGCGCTGCAGCCACCAGGGTTCCCGCCCGCATTTGAGCCGCATACCACCTTAGCATATCACTCTCCCGCCTCGTTCCACCTCTGTTTCTCTCGCTCTACCACACATTTCGCATTTCGTCGTATCTGTCACCATGGCTGACTCTATCGCCCACCTCAACTCGGGTCGCACCCGGATCGAATGGCTGTCCAACCTCAACACCGAGTACAAGCCGAAGCGGGAGTTCCGC